AATTAATTTGATGATATAATCTATATTTTCCGTTGCTTTTGGTTCGTATGTTGGCTCTGCATAGTTCATGCTTCTCATGTCTTCGTGAAAAGTCCTAGTATAGTATGTGCTGATGCTTTCTACACTGCTATTTTTCTCACTTGCTGCGTTGATTATCTTATCATCAATATCGGTTATGTTGCGCACATAAGTAACTTTGCCATAACAAAATTTAAGCAGTTGAAATAATACGTCGTAAACAACAACAGAACGCGCATTACCTATGTGTGCTGTATCATATACCGTTGGTCCGCAAACGTACATCTTTACATGATCTTTATCGATCGGTATAAAAGGCTCTTTTTTTTGTTAAGGTGTTATAGAGCCTAACTTTTTAGAAAACAAAATGCTCCAAGTATGAGCTGTGGTCCTTTAACTATTACAACAAGGATAAGTAGCAACCCGCATAAAGACACTAAGACTCCCAGTATAGAGAGAAGCCCATCTTTACTCATAATACCAAGTGAAATGAGAGTTGTTCCAATTGCAGGAATGAAGTTAGTTAGGGGTAGCGGAATGGCTATCGATAATGCACAAAGCAGCGTTATGAAAGCTAAAATCTTTTCACCTGGCCCGCAGAAAATGAAAGACGTTCTCGGTTTCATGAACTTTTCTATTTTTCTTAAAGCAGGAGAAGTTTTTTCTATCCCAAGAGCTAGTGTTGAACGTTGAAAAGACTTTCTTTCCAACCAGTGAGGCATCCAAGGAGAATCAAACCCCAACAGAAGCTGCAGTGAGAATAGGATTAGAGGTATAGAAAGTATAGTTGTATAGCCAGGTGGAACCGGTATAGGTACTGAAAGTGGCAAAGAGAAGATAATTATTAAAATACCAAAACTGCGCTCATGCAGGGCTGTTTTTATGTCAAACAGTGTTATTTTATCACTATTGGCGTTGTTGGTGTCTGCAACCTCTTTTAGAATATCAGTAGCTAATTTTTTATTTTCGGCTAATTTCTCACTTTTTTGCACAATTATCCTTTAACAAAATGATTCCTTCTAACTAACATAATTACCGCAGTATTTCAATGTTTAAGTTTTTAAACAAATGACAGGCACTAAAGTACGTGTCACAAAGTATAAAGACGCTAACGATCTGGCTCGTTAGCTGATAGTTTCTCTGAGTCCTTAAGTTCTTGTTTAAGGTTTTTAATGCCTTTTCCCAGATCACCCATAACTTGTGGTAACCTACCTGCGCCAAACAGAACTAAGATTATTATTAAGACTAGAAATAATTGCCATGGTCCTAAGCTCATTTGTACCTCCATTTAAAATATTAACCTTTAGAAATTGAAACCTGACTGAAGTCAAGTAACACATGAATTATATCACCTTATCACCTTATTTAGTTGTAGATCAAAATTTTTTAGTGTTTGATTCTATTTTATAATAATTTCAGACTAGATTATTTTCTTGCAGCAAGTATACCATCAAACGGAAGCTCATCACCTAACTGCAAAGTAGAAGAGAACTCACTAAAGAACTTTGCTAGCGTATGATCTTTAGGACTATGATATATATATCACTGGAAACTCCTGATTGGATAATTTTACCGCTTTTCATTACGTAGATAAAATCTGCAACATTTAATGCTTCTTGCGGATCGTGAGTTACCATTAACACGGGGGTATTTTTACTACTAAAAAGGGACAATATATGATGTCTTATTCGGCACTTTGACAGTATATCTAAGTTAGAAAATGGTTCATCGAGCAACACAACATCAGGATTTTGTGCCATTACTCTCGCTATTGCAACTAATTGTTGCTGCCCTCCCGATAGGGCATTAGGATACATATTTTCATATTTTTCTATGTTTAATAGCTTCAAAATTTCCAATGCAGTGAGCTATGAATAGCAAAAGTTATATTCTCTACTACTGTTTTGTGAGGAAATAGAGCAGAATGTTGAAAAATCAATCCGACATTCCTATGCTCTATTGCAATTGATGTGTGGCTACTTGCAACTAGCCTATCATTTATAAAAATGGTGCCAGATTTTGGATTTTCTATCCCTGCAATTAATTTTAAAATCGTTGATTTGCCGCAACCTGAATGTCCAAGTAGACATGCAACATTTCCTCTCTTTATCTCAATATTTATGTTGCTTAAAGTGAAATTGTCTTGATTGTTATAGGAATAACTAATGTTGTTAACTAGCATCAATTTAAACCGTATTATTAAATATAATAGCATTATACTCAAAAAATATACAGAAATGTTTTTTGTTATTATAAATTGGTGATGCAGGAGATCTAGAAAAGTACAAGATTTTTGCTATAATTTTGTGCAGATAATAGAAAACATGAGACTATAACTCAGTAGGATAGAGCATTGGATTCCTAATCCGAAGGCCGTGCGTTCGAATCGCACTAGTCCCATACCAATTACAACATAACCATAAAACCTACAGTAATACTATATCTCACTGCGTTTAAATGTCAACTAATATATCTAACTTTGTTATAATAATAACAATACATTTTTACTTTATGTATATTTAAAAAGAAAGTAAATAATTTAATCTTTTGTGACATTGATTAATATGGTGCCTTTACTGGAAATGTTTTTTTGAAAAAGAAAAGGGATTAAACTTCTCGCATAACCTAGAAAAAGGGATATTATTGTAACGTGTTTACGTTACTGAAGAAGCCGTAGAGATGGTTAATTGGTTTATTTAACAATCTACAAATAACGGCTACAATTAATTATCACAATTTCGCGGGTTTCCACACTTTACAAACCCTACAACACAATCTCTTAACACAATCTTCACGAAACTTCACGTACTAATAACGCGGGAGCTATACAACTCTCCCTGAAATACACACTCCGAGTATAACTGTACTACAGCAATCACTATGTCTGGAAAGCACACAATAATTCTTCCGCTCGCTGACTTCTTCGTTATCGCACACTCGCAGGCTGCTATGTTTCAACTGTCCTGTCAGCTGCTGTGGAGTCCACTTATATAGCCGCGGTGCTTACCGGTTGCGTAATGAGTGCCACATCACAGTAGGAAATTGATTACGGGTACGTTAGCGTGGCGCGTTACGTCACCGCTGTTGACTCGCGTTGCCTAGCGACCGCGATATCACTCGGTGACGTCACCGCGGAGGGGAGTGGCGGGGTGATGTCTCGCCCGTTACGCGAGCGTTACGTTACCGCTGAGGGGTGGGAGGGGAGCGCTGACTCACCAGCCGCGTCACTGCTGGTGTGGGGGGGGGCTCGGCTTTGCGCAACATGTCACATTATTTTAAATATTGGCGTTTTTTGTGTGCTCTTAAATTGCTTTAGCTATAAAATTAAGAAGTTTACCAAGCGAAAAAAAGGCAAAAGAAACCCTGGCCATTGTTTATTTTCAGTATTGGCGTTTTTTTAAGTCTTAAACGCTGCAATTTAGCGAGTTTTAAACCGCAACAGATCTAAATTTAAACGATAAGAAATTTACCAAGCAGAAAAAAGGCGAAAGAAACCCTGTTGGCTAGTTATTCACTATCTATCTTTTAAATTGGCTTTTTTTATTGTCTTAAACGCTTTAACAAGCGCATTTTAGCTTATATTAGGTAAAACCCTTGAAAGTTTATAAAGACATGAGATGCACATAGTGCAAAAAAATAAACATAAGACACCAACCATAATACTCTTGTCGTTTAATCTGTATAGATAAAGATAACTGAACACCTCCAGTATCATGATAATGAAACTGGTGAAGGTTGTCAAGTAGTTTTTGTTTCTATTGGATGACGTTATAGCTTTTTTTCCACCGTCGTCTATCCGTTTTCTGTGTAGTGGAATTGGTATCAGCAGATGCATCCCAGTCGGTAATTTTATAATTATAACCCACGCTTCCAGGCTTTTTTTGACCAAAAATCTCCTGTTTCCCTACGCCTTTTCCCCCCACTCATATAAAGCTGTCTTGCCAATTTTAAATCTCTTTGCAACACCTGCCACGCTTTCTCCTCAATACTTTCTATAAACCTTGAAGTATTCTGGCACTATATTTTCAATTGATAATGGACGGATTTTTATTGTTTCAAGGTCAGTTGATTTTTCGATTGAGCTACTCATCATAACTTTCACCTGATCTCGAGTAAGCATGGGATTTGTATCACCGGTTATACGCTTTAGCAACATAGAAATGATCCTACTTTCTAAGAAGAAAGCTATTAACTTGGCCATTGGGAAAGATACGTTGACTAACAAGCACTTTCTGTTAGTAACATTCAAAATAAACTTTAATAGGCTTTTGAAAGAATGGATCTTTGGTCCATCTATATTGTATATTTTCTTATCTTTTTTGTTAAGGTTGATGATACGATATACTACTTCAGCTAGGTCGGTTACACATATCAGCTGAAATTTAGTTGTTCCACCGCCAATTAGCGGCAAAAAAGGAAGAATCGTCGCTAACTTCACAAATTTATCAAAGAAACTATCTTCTTTGCCAAATACAAGGCTGGGTCTAATTATTATTGCTTCTGGAAATGCTGAAGTTACAGCTTTTTCGCCTTCCAATTTACTTTGGGCATATTTTGACAGCTTGCTATTTTCTATCCCCATAGCAGAAAAATGTATCATCATGGGTACATTTTTTATCTTTGCAGCTCTTGCTATTCTTTCAGCTATGCCAACATGAATGGCATAGAAATCATGCTTTTTTGTCTCATATAATATTCCTACTAAGTTTATGACTGCATCACATTCCTCTGTACTTCCTAAAATTGATTTTTTATTAAAAAAAATTGCCTTTAAGTACTGATATTTGCCCTAAATTTCCACATAGTTTCAGGCAAGCAGCGTTTTCTTGGTAACGAGTAAATATTCATATTAAATACCCCGCTGCTTCCAGACGTCTTACGATGTGTTTTCCTATAAATCCTGTTCCACCAAAAATAACTACACGTCTTGTCACGATTAAAACTTCTAATAACTAAACCCTAAATTAATACAGTAGTTTTATTTAATATTCCATTATGAGTCTCTGTACTATAAGATCCATTTTCATTCCACGTGAGCCTTTAACTAGAATTACATCATTATTCTGAACAATATTAGCTAAATCACTTTTCAATTGATTGGAGTCATTAAAATGCGCACCTTTCATATTGCTTGGCAAAAGCCTGTGCAATTCTAACATAAATTTACCGACCGTATAAACTTTACTCACATCACATTCTACGATAAAATCAAGCAACTTTGTATGAAATATTACGCTTTCATTACCAAGCTCTAGCATATTGCCGAGTAATGCTACTTTTCTCCGATTAGAATATGTACCTAAAGTTCTTATTGCAGCTTTCATTGAAGCAGGATTGGCGTTATAAGAATCATCAATCAAATATACGTTCTTCCCATTGTATTTAGCTTTGTGAACACTACCTCTGCCTTTGGTTACACTAAAATTTTCAAGTGCAAGTGGTAATTTCGATAAATCAAGTCCGAGTCTTTGTACAACTGCTGCAACAGCCAACACAGAGTATGCAAAATGTTCGCCTTGCGCAGATAAACTACAGTCTATGATCAGATTATTATTCAGTCTAATTTTTAAATTCAGCCCGCCATCGTTTCTTATTAGGTCTAATAAATGAACAGTAGCACTTTTATCTTTACCAAAACTTATTACATCTCTATTGGCATGTGATGAGAGATAGTCACGATATTTATTATCTCTGTTCAAAACCAAAGTGCCGTTATTTTTCATGCCATACAGAACTTCCAATTTTGCTTGTGCAATATCAAGTAGCGACGAAAATTTTTCAACATGTGAAGGTTCTACGTTGGTGATAACCGCGATATCAGGATTACTAATCTTAGATAATTCTTTGATTTCACCAGCTTTATTCATTCCCATTTCAAGAATTAAGTACTGGCAACTTTCCGGAGCTTTCAGAACTGTCAAAGCAATCCTGTATTATTATTCAAGTTCCCTTCATTTACATGAGACACTCCATATAATGATAAAACAGTGTACAGCATGTCCTTTGTAGTAGTTTTCCCGACACTACCTGTGATTGCAATAACTTTAGCACTAACAAGAACACTTCTAATGTAATATGATGCCATATCATGCAAAGCTTTGAGAGTATCTTGCACAACAAGTAGAGGAAGATTTCTATATTTACCTTCGATTACGTTTAAAAATGTTTCATGTAAAAAATCATGCGCATCAAAGTTCTTCCCTTTAAGAGCAATAAATACATCACCTTGTATCTGTTGAAATATTCGAGTTGTGTACCCAATTACAACTACCTACTTTTCTTCCACCAGTGACATCGATGATATTATTTGCGTTCCACTTGAACATAAATTAGCCTTAAAGCAAATTGAACAATAAAAGTAGCGAAAATACTACATGCTTAAGAAAATTTGTAAATAATATTTGCAATCCCTATAAATTCATCTTATAATAGACATAGAAGTTTAAATGTTTTCATTTATAATTTAGAGTATATTATAGTATTTAGTATGGGAATACTTAGGAGGTATGTATGACAGATATCTGGGCTAAGGTAGGCGTGGCAGTTAAAAAAGGCGCGGAAACTACAAAAGACGTACTTCTTCTTGTGTCTAAAGCACTCATTTACCCTATAAAGAAGCCGTTTGCTTCATTGGATGAAATGAAACATAATGCCACAGTTTCGTTAAAGGGAGCTGTTGGTATGAATGTACCTGAAAAAGAAAGGGAATACGACCCACCTATAGAAACTACGCAAGCTAGCAAGAATCTCGGCGTAGAAATAAGAAGCTATAAGAGTGGGGGAATAAAATTTTTAGCATCAAAAACTTTGACGGGAGATGTACCTTATTTGACGAGAGAACAATTAGGTGAAATAGAAGAACTAAATAAGGAAGATAAGTACTCAAGCATAGCTATCTTTAGAGAAGAAAACCAAGTTGTAATTGAAGTTCATGTTTAGAAAATCACTAACGATATTAAAAACAATTCTGAACACAAAGGAAAGAGTTCAGGAGAGATAAAAGAGCTTGTTCTTAAAGGAATTTATGATAAAATTGATCACAACCTTAAAGGCCTGGCGGGAATCACCGGTGGAGAGTTGGAATGTCACACGGACCGAAAATTGCTACATGGTATTGCGGAAAAATTATATCGAGAATATGATAACAGATCGTCAAAAACTGCAGTACCTAAAAAGCCATCAAATACTATGAATTCTTCAGAAACTGTTAAAGGTACAAATTATGAAAAGTATTTTGGTATAACTAACCCTAACGAATTTCCTTTTGGTAAAGAAACTATATCTCCTACAAAGATGCAATTGCCGCAAGGTATCGAAGAGCAGGTAAAAGAGCTGGGTGCTTTTTTGAATTCGACTTTGATGAAGCAATAAAATCACTATCTAAACCTGCAAAAAACGATGAAAAAGTAAACTGGAGAGGCTGACTTGAAATATGAGCAATAAAAGTTATGATGGTAATAACATTTTTGCTCAAATATTAAGAGGTGAGTTACCTTGTGAGAAGGTGCACGAAAATGAGCGTGTGTTGGCGTTTTATGATAAATATCCTGACGCACCAGTTCACATTTTGGTCGTACCAAAAAGTCAATATACTTCATATGATGACTTTATTCTAAAAGCCTCTGCAGAGGAGATAGTAAATTTCTTTAAAACTGTAAGAGAGATAACACATAAGTATAATCTAGAAAAAAACAGGGTACAGATTAGTTACTAACTACGGTGAAAACGGAGAACAAGTTATACCACATTTTCATGTGAATATTTTAGGTGGTAAAAGATTAGGAAAGCATGTAAGTTTGTAGTGTTGCTTTCTATATATTTTGTTAAATGAGTGAATATTTAACCATAGTAATTTTTATCTGCGTATCAATCATAGTATCTCTTGCTTTGGGTATATTGCCGATGTTTCTTGCAGTGAGCAATCCTGATAGCGAAAAACTTTCAACATATGAGTGCGGCTTCAACCCTTTATCAAGAGCAAGAAAAAATTTTGACATTAAGTTTTACTTAGTTTCAATATTATTTATAATATTTGACTTAGAAATTGCTTATCTTTTTCCTTGGGCTGTTTCTTTGTCCAAGATAAGTTATTGTGGATTTTGGTCTATGATGATATTTCTTGCAATACTCACTATAGGCTTTATCTATGAATGGTGTAAAGGTGCGTTAGAATGGGAGTAAGTTTATGACGGGTCAAATCCTAACTAATGATGATTGGGGTCATTATAAGAAAGAAGGGTTTCTTGTCACTAAATTTGGTGATTTAATAGACTATATAATGAATTGGGCAAGATCTGGCTCATTGTGGCCAATGACATTTGGTCTTGCGTGTTGTGCAGTGGAGATGATGCACACTGCATCCAGTCGTTACGATCTTGATAGATATGGCATAATGTTTCGTGCAAGTCCAAGGCAAGCGGACATTATGATTGTTGCCGGTACACTAACTAACAAAATGGCAGCAGCGTTGCGTAAGGTTTACGACCAAGTGGCAGATCCGAAGTATGTTGTATCCATGGGCAGTTGTGCAAATGGTGGTGCTTATTATCATTACTCCTATTCAGTAGTCCGTGGTTGTGATAGAATTGTACCGGTTGATGTGTATGTTCCTGGATGCCCACCAACCGCTGAGGCATTGCTATATGGAATGCTATGCTTACAAAATACAATAAAACGAACTCGGAATATATACAACATGGATAAAACTGCAAAGCATATACAAAAAAAGACCAAATGTGAATCCACTCAGCAAGGCGATTGTACTATTGCGATGTATTCAGCTTTAGATGATATTGAAAATCACTTGCTCTTTCTACGTGATGATGAGAAATGCAGGTTTGAATTATTAGTTGATATTTTGGGGGTTGATTATCCGGATAGAGAAAAACGTTTTGAGCTAATATACAACTTGCTCAGCATTGTGCGTAACATCAGGGTACATGTAAAGCTTCAGCTATATGAAAGTTATATGCCTACAAGTGTAGTGAATATATTCAGTACAGCTGCATGGTTTGAGCGAGAAGTGTTCGATGTGTATGGAATAAAATTCTCTGATCACCCCGATCTGCGTAGGATCCTAACGGATTATGGATTCAAAGGCTATCCAATGTTGAAAGATTTTCCTCTCACTGGCTATGAGGAAGTTGGGTATGATATAGAAGCAAAAAGTTTGTGTATAATCCTATAGATTTGCATCAGGATTTTCGGATGTTTGATAGTTTATCCCCTTGGGAAGATAAAGCTACAAAAGTAAATATAAAGGAGTAGAAAATGACAGTACAAAGAAAAAAAAATATCTTTGATCGGTGCAGGAAATATCGGTGGAACTCTTGCCCATATGATTGCGCTTAGGGAGCTTGGTGACGTTGTTTTACTTGATGTCAGTGATGAAATACCGCAAGGTAAAGCACTTGACATTGCAGAATCGTCCCCTATTGACAGGTTTAATACTAGCATCATCGGTACAAATAGGTACGAAGATATAAAAAAACTCCGATGCAATTACAGTAACTGCTGGTAATGCGAGAAAACCAGGAATGAGCAGGGACGATCTCCTCCAAACTAATGCCAAAGTAATGAAGGAGGTTGGTGAAAATATTAAAAAATACTCTCCAAACGCGTTTGTAATAGTGATTACTAATCCTTTGGATACCATAGTTTCAGTGGTGCACAAATTTTCAGGCATTCCAACTAACATGATTGTTGGAATGGCAGGAGTGCTTGATTCTTCTCGTTTTCGCTATTTTCTTGCAAGTGAGTTAAATATATGAACTGAAGATATATCTGCTTTCGTGCTTGGAGGACATGGCAACACTATGGTACCACTCATTCTCTGTGCTTCCATTGCTGGCATTCCTCTTACCCAAATCATTGATATGGGTTTCATCACACAGGAAAAAGTTGATGAAATAGTCAAGCGTACTCGTAATGGTGGGAAAGAGATAGTTGATTTACTGAAGTCTGGGTCTGCGTACTATGCTCCTGCCTCTTCAGCCATATGTATGCTAGAATCATATTTAAAAGATAAAAGGCGTATACTACCATGTGCTGCTTATCTCAGTGGTGAATATGGCGCGAAAGACCTATTCATTGGCGTTCCTGTAATTGTCGTATAAAACGGAGTTGAAAAGGTCTTAGAAGTTAAAATGGAAGGTAGTGAACAAGAGATGTTCAATCACTCTGTGAAAGCAATGAAAGATTTAGTGAAGTCTTTAGGTTTATAAGTAAATTAATATTTTATAGGATTTCTTTATAACTTGAGTTTCGCAAACAGCCTAAAAAGTTGCTTGTGGTTACCTCTGCGACTTCATCGGGTAAGTCATTCCATAATTTCGCCAGGCAATCCACAATATATTTTACCATTGCCGGCTCCTTTTTTTCCCCTCTGTAAGGTTCAGGTGATAGATACGGTGAATCAGTTTCAACTAAAACACGCTCACGTGGTACATCTTGTGCAATTCCTCTCAGTAAGCTAGCATTTTTAAAAGTAATAATTCCAGAAAATGAAATATACAATCCCAAATCTATAGATTGATAAGCAAGCTCTTTCGAAGAAGCAAAGCAGTGCATTACTCCACTAAAAGTACCATTCTTCATTTCTGACTTTAACATATCAATCATTTCACAATCAGCATTTCTAGCATGAATAACTAAACGTAACCCCGTTATTCTTGCCACTTCTATGTGCAATGGAAAACTTTTTTCCGATTGCTTTTGTTATTAGATTTATAAAAATCTAATCCGGTTTCACCGATGCCAATTACCTTTTGATTTTTGGTAAATTCAACTAGTTCATCAACACGTATACACTCACCATTTTCTACAGTAATATCAAGTGGATGTACACCAAAAGAGAAGTAAACGTAATCATAGGACGAAGAAATTGTTAACAATTTAGGAACATCATCAATGCTTGTGCATAAGTTATGTAAAACTTTTACACCATTTTGCTCTGCCCTTGAAATTACTTTCGGTATTTCATCATCAGAAAAATAAATCAAATGGCAATGAGAATCTACTATCATAAATTTATTATAATTTTCATTCGATAATATAGGCTTTTATTTGAGAAGAAAACTCTTCTATCACTGTTTTATAAACTTCCTTCTTAAAGGATATAGCATTTGCTACCAAATCATCTACACTTTGCCAACGCCATTCTTTGAATTTTGGATGATCAGTATAGTTAATATTAATGTCTTTATCCTCTCCATAAAACTTCATTAAGAACCATCTCTGCTTTTGGCCAGAATATCTCCCATTCCAACAAGTTGGTATAAATTCCTCAGGTAAGTTGTAGTATATCCAACCCTTACTTTCGGCTATAATCTCTGCTTTATCAGTGCTAACTTCCTCTAGCAACTCACGTAACGCTGCATGTTCCAGCTCTTCACCATCATCAACCCCTCCTTGCGGCATTTGCCAAGCAAAAGTCACTATCAAAGCGTTTTCCAACAAAAACGTGCCCTTGTTTGTTAAATAGCATTATGCCAACACAAAGACGATACTTATCTTTCTGTTCAACCACGAGTGCGCTCTGTTAAATTATTTACAGAAGTTTTAACTAATTTTTCTCCATTATTCATCTTTTTAACAATTCTTTCTGCAATTTCCTTTGCACTCAAGTTCGAATTGTCAATTTCAAGCGAACCTTCAGGTACAAATAACCTTTTTTCTCTAGTCCTTTTTATGGTAAAATCTGAATCAATAATTTTACCTTCCTGGTACCTGTCTTTTGATTCAACACGCTTTATTAACTCTTCATTATTGCAATGCAATACTACAGGAAGAATTTCTACACCCATTTTTTCAACTAAATTCACCATTGAGCTGTATACTCTCTGGTCGTAAGAACCACCATCTATCAACTCATTTTTAAATGTATAATGCTTTAATTATATGTGGTGTTCTCCCAGTACCGCTAGCATATTTTCTCTAACCGCAAAATTTTTTTCCCATAGGTCATCGGAAACTTCAGCATTTTGTAATTTAACCATGTTAAGTATAACATTGTTGAATAGATTATTACTTACTATCACCGCATCAATGATCTCACCCAGGTTTCGTGCAATAGCAAACTTACCACTACCTGGAAAGCCGATTAAGTAAACAAGAGCTTTGCTCATAATAAATACACTATTAGAAAACCATCCTTAAGTTATATATAAAAGGATATGTATTGTATATACTGTTGCATCAAAAGCATGAACAATTTGGTCTTAGTAATACCAAAAATAGTTCATGTTTAGAAATTTTGAATATATTATTATAAACAAATTATATAATTTAAAATGATGGCTAGTGTATCTGGTGATGCAGAATTAATAAAAAACATGATTGTAAGTATCATAGATCAAAACAAAGGTCATGATATAGTCACTTTTGATGTGCAGAATAAAACCGATATTGCAAAATATATGATTATTGCATCTGGCGATTCGAGCCGCCACGTGAGAGCATTAGCTGAGCATGTAATAAAAATCTCAAGCCACATGATAAAGCAGATGTAGAAGGTATGGATGAAGGTAATTGGGTAATTGTGAATTTTTGAAGGCATAATGGTTCACATATTCAGATCGAAAGTAAGGGGATATTATAAAATATAACAACTGTGGAATTAACTTTCTTTCATTTGTAAGACTCATAGATTATAATCATTTCAACTGACAAAAGCAAACCATGAAACATAAATCCGAGTTTTTAAATTTTATCCAAGAAAGGGGACACCCATATCAGTGTACAGACGCTGAGGGGTTAGATCGAGTATTATCGCAAAATAATCATATAACTGCATACATTGGGTTTGATTGCACAGCACCAAGCCTAAATATTGGTAGTTTAATCCAAATTATGATGCTCCGCCATCTGCAAAAATTTGGTTACAAGCTAATAGTTTTGCTTGGGGGTGGAACAACAAAAATTGGCGATCCATCCGGCAAAGACAAAGCAAGGAGTGTCTTGCCTATGGAAAATATCAACCAAAACATATCTGGCATAAAAAAACACTCGAGAAAGTAATATCTTTCAACGATGGAAAGACTGGTGCAATCGTAGAAAATAAAGCAGATTGGCTAGATAGTATAAAATATATAGATTTTTTACGCAACGTAGGAGTGCATTTTTCTGTGAACCGTATGCTAAGTTTAGACAGTGTAAAAATTAGGCTGGATAGGGAGCAAAATCTAAGCTTTCTTGAGTTTAACTACATGCTGTTGCAGGCTTATGATTTTGTTGATTTGAATAAAAAGCACGGCTGTCGTCTGCAGATTGGAGGGTCAGACCAGTGGGGAAATATAGTAAATGGAATTGAACTTGGCAAAAAGTTTAATTTACCTGAATTATTTGGCCTTACCACGCCTCTTTTATTAAATGCGAAAGGAAAAAAGATGGGCAAAACTGAAAATGGAGCTATATGGCTCGATGGCAGTATGCTAAAGCCCTTAGACTACACGCAATATTTTCGCAATGTTCATGATCAAGATGTTGGCCGTTTTGTGAGACATTTACCGATTTGCCAATTGATGAGATTAAAAAACTAGAGTCCCTAAAGAATCAAGAAATAAATGAAGCGAAAAAAGTTTTGGCACAGAAATAACAAAAATGTGTCCTGGTGAAAAAGAAGCAGAAATTGCACGAT